GCCTCGCAAAGGCCTCTCAGAACCTGCAGAAGCCTCGCAAAGGCGTCGCAAAGCTCGCAGAAAAGCCTCGCAAAAGGTCTCCCAGAGCTCGCAGAAGCATCGCAAAGGCCTGTCCGAACTCGCAGAAGCCTCGCAACGGCCTCCCAAAGCTCGCAGAAGCCTCGCAGAAGCCTCGCAGAAGCCTCTCAGAGCTCGCACAACCCCGCAGAATCCTCTCGGAGCTCGCGGAAGCCTTGCAGAGGCTCCTCGGCACTCGAAGAAGCCTCGCAGAGGCCTCTCTCACAGAGCCTGCAGAAGCCCCGCAACGGCGTCGCAAAACTCGCAGAAGCCTCGCGGAGGCCTCGTAAAGCTCGCGCAAGCATCGCAGAAACATCTCAGAGCTCGCAGAAGCCTCGCAGAGGCCTCCCAAAGCTCGAAGAAGCCTCGCAAAAAAGGCCCCATTCAGAGCTTGCCGAAGCCTCGCAGAGGCCTCCGAGAACTCGAAGAAGCCTTGCAGCAGCTTCTCAGAACTTGCAGAAACCTCGTAGAGGCCCCCCAGAGCTCGCGGAAGCCTCGCGGCTTCTCAGAACTCGCAGAACCATGCCCCTCCGAGCTCGCAGAAGCCTCGCAAAGGCCCATCATAGCTCGAAGAAGCCTCGCAGAGGCCCCATTCAGAGCTCGAAGAAGCCTCGCAGAAGGCCCTCAGTGCTTGCGAAAGAAATGCGTCTGAATAAAAAAGAAGCACCTCTGAAGAAGAAACATACTCCTAGAGAAAGAAGAACTACTTCTGAAAAAAACATACTGTGTACGTCAGAATAAGAAAAACACTTCTGAAGAAGAAACACTTCTGAACAAAAAACACTTCTGAAGGTGAAAGAAGTACTTCTGAAAATCCATCCGGGACCATTCCCCATACGGAACGCACTTTCGGGGAGAAGGGGGGTGGCCAGAGCCTCAGAAATCACCTTTTTTTCCAAATGTCCGATTCCGAGAACCTGTGCCCAAAAACACTTTTACCTCGTGGGGGCGCAATTTGTACTTCCACCGCCCTCCCCCGAGCTTCCGCCGACTTTCTGCCGACGATGCCGCCGCGGAAGAGATGTCAAATCCTTTGCCGTTTTTGGAAGGCCCCACTGAAATCTCTTATCGGGGGGCCTTTTTCTCGCGGCAGGGCCACCCCGCTCAGCGTCGGGAGCGCCCAGATGGGTTTTCAGCCCGGAACCGTTCCAGGGTGAAAATCCATCCGGGACCTCCTCCAATTCAAAAAAGCGCTTTCGGGCAGCAGGGTGGGGATGTACCCGCGTCCCAAAAGTCGCAGTGTGCCAAATGACATCTCTTCTTGGGGGGGCGTTTTTCTCGCGGCTGGGCCCATCGCCCAGTCTCGGGAGCGCCCTAAATGGATTTTCACCCCGGAACCGTTCCAGAGTGAAATCCATCTGGGACCCTCCCCCCAGCGCCAAAAAAAAGGCTCTCGAGACCACGGAAAAACGAAAACCAAACGAAAACAAACAAAAACAAATAACCCAAACAACTCCAAACAAACTGACGGCGAAAAACCTATAAAAAACCGAAAGCCAGAAAACAGGAAACTGGAAACAAAAACACCAGAACATTCAAGGCAATTCGAAGCCGAAACTCGAAACCATCCGAAGCCCGAAAACGGAAACCCGAAACAATAAGAGAAAGCAACAATGAAGCAAACAACGAAAATCAGAAAACCACACGAAAACCTCAAAACACAGAAACCCGGAAACAAAAACAAAAACAGAAGCTTCGGCTTCGGATTGTTTGGAGCTTCGGTTTCGGATTGTTCCGCGTTTCGGCTGTCGGGCTTTCGTTGTCGAACTTTGGGCTCTTCTTTTCGGGCTGTGGTTTTCGGGCTTCTGGTTTTAAGTCGGGCGTGTCCCCCTACAGGGGGATTTTCGACGAAACATAAAAAATACCCCAAAAATCATCCAAACATAGTCCAAAAATAGTCTGGGGACATTGTTTTTTTTTTTCGTTTGTGTATTTGGGGGTATTCTTTTTTTTTCGTCGAAAATCCCCCTGTAGGGGGACACGCACGACTTAATTCTGGCTTCGGGTTTCGCCTCGGGCTTCGGGCTTCTGTGTTCGGGGCTCGGTTTCTGTTGGTGGTCTCCAAACCAGGTGGTGAGACACCCGGTGGTGACACCGATTCCCTCAAAAAACAATTCTGGGTCACCACCCGGTTTGGGGACACGCGGTCGCCACGAGGTTTTGCGTTTCCTGGGCCAGCCAGGGCTCGAAAACCATAACCCAAATCGCCCAAAACTCACCACCGGGTGTTTTCACCACCACGTTTGGGGACCACCAATTCTGGGGCCCCGCGGAGGCCCTACGAATTAGCTCCGGAGTTCGTCCGCGGGCGGGCCAGCAGGGGTGCGCGCGCCATCGTGCGGCGCGCTCTCTGTCCGCACATCTTCCCATCCCGTCGACCCGGGCCCCGTGAATCTGGCCATCGCTCGGGCGTCCATTTCCTGTGTTTTTTTCTGTTTCGTGCGTGGTTTTTTCGCGAAATGATCAAGGATGCTCCTCGATGGTCCTCGCCGAAGGAAAAATGCACACGTCCGAGCGATGCCAAGGAATTGACTCCGGAGTTAACCCACGGGGGAGTGGCGGATCAGTGCGCCGCTCTGGGCCCCGCGAATCAGCTCCGGAGTTCATCCACGGGCCCGCGTTCCTCCTCCGAGGCCCCGTCGTGTCCTACCCCCTTCCTATCCCTCCCTGGGACGATGAAGTCAAAAAACAGCGAGGTGCCAGCGCCGTGGCAGAGCCTAGGATGGGAAGCGCGGCCTGACAAATCCAGCTCCGCCCTCCAATCATCCGCACAGCTCGTCCGCGCACGAGCGCAGCGGCTCGCTGGGAATAGCGACGGTCCTGTCGAATGCGCAGCGCGGGCGCCGTCGTTTCGGGCCCAGGCCCGAAACGACGCTAGGCCCAGGCCCAAGCGCAGGCCCACCCTCGTCGCCGCCGCCGGCGGCCGGCGGACCCTGGGCGCGCCCTAGCGGAGCCGGCTCGGCCATGGAATCGCTGACGCCTCCGAAGCAAGAGACCCGCAACTCCTTCTTCTGATTGCGCTGCTGGCGGCGGCGCTGCGCCCTCGTCCGCCACGGCCTCCCCTCCGACTCGTCTTCGCCCTCGCCCTGGTCATCAGCCCTTGCCTGCTCGAGCTCGTCCTCGCCCTGGCCCTGGTCCAGGTCCTCGTCGTTGCCCTGGTCCTCGCCCCTCCGCCTGGTCCTCGCTTGCGCTGCTGGCGGCGCTGCCTCCTCGTCCTGGTCCTCCGCCTCATCCGCCTCTCGCGGAGATTTGAGACTCCGAAGCAGAACGACAAGATCCAGCGACGGCGACCTACGATCCACCACGTGTTGCCAGCGATCCTGGGATGGCGCAGTGCCTGCAGAACGGCCAGAGATACAGTGCAGCGCGGGCTGACCAGACTGCAGATCTTCGAACTTCTAAGATTTGGATACTGTTTGCTTGAGCCACAACCACAACAATGCCTACGGAGACGAGGAGATCTGAAGGCACCCCCCCCGTTTTCCCCCGTCGAACTTGGGCTTCGTGAAGGTGTTCCAGGGGTCTCCAGCGATCATCGGTGGATGCGCTGGACTACAAGCAAATTATTATTTGGGCGGCGCGCCTAGGAGGGAAGACAGAACGGGCGGGCCTTCCTTAGAGGCCTCCCAAATGGGATCGGAGTAGATGGGGTCGGAAGATCGCACCGCATCGACGGACGATGCATCGGCGACGTCGGCGGTGCATCGGCGACGCTGGCGTGGAGAAGATCGCATCGAGCCACATCGCCGATACATCGGCGATGCGGCGCGATCCTCCGACCCCATCCACTCCGACCCCATCTAGGAGGCCCAGATCCTTAGGAGGTTCACAAGGCCTCCAGCCGCCCGAGAAGCTTCCTGGGCCTCCTTCGAAGCCCGCCCCCTCCTCCTCCTCCTCCTCCTCCTCCTCCTCCTCCTCCTCCTCCTCCTCCTCCTCCTCCTCCTCCTCCTCCTCCTCCCTCCTCCTCCTCCTCCTCCTCCTCCTCCTCCTCCTCTTCCTCCTCCTCCTCTGCATGGACATTAAACCGTTGGAGCTCCTGGATCGGCGCTGGAACCCCGGCGCGCGGAATGCGCCAGGGGCGGCGCCAGAGGCGCCGCCAGGGGGGCCCAGCGCCGATCCGAGAAATCCGCGCGGAGCTCCAAAAAAGCTGATGTTCAGGCAGCTGCTCGTTCTTCGACTCGCGCTTTCCCCCCTCGGCCCCACGACCTTGGGCCCACGACTGGCTCGCGGTGCACGGGGCCCACGACCTTGGGCCCACGATCTTGGGCCCACGACTTGGACCCACGACTTGGACCCACGACTGGCTCACGGGGCCCACGATCTTGGGCGTATGTCGGGCGCGTCCCCCTACAAGGGGATTTTCGACGAAAAATTACAAATACCCCAAAAATCCTTCCAAAAGGGTTTAAAAGTACCGAAAAAATCGTCCCCACACTATTTTTGCAGTATTTTTGGACTGTTTCTTATTTCTCGTCGAAAATGCCCCTGTAGGGGGACAGGCCCGACTTAATCTTGGGCCCACGACTGGCTCACGCCGACCAGCCATAACCGGGGGAGCTGTGGTCCGTACCCCCCTGGGGGAACCCATCGCATCGACGATCTATCGAGAGGGGTGCCGAAATCGATGGGTCCCCCAGGGGGGTAAGGACCACGGCTCCCCCAGTTGTAGCTGGCCTGTCACGGGGCCCACGATCTTGGGCTTATGTCGGGCGTGTCCCCCTACAGGGGGATGTTCGACGAAAAATAAAACATACCCCAAAAATGCCCCAAAAGTGCTAAACAATACTGAAAAAATGGTCCCCAGACTATTTTTTGAGTATTTTTGGACTATGTTTGATGCATGTTTTATTTCTCGTCGAACATCCCCCTGCAGGGGGACAGGCCCGACTTCATCTTGGGCCCACGACTGGCTCACGGTGCACGGGGGGCGGCGTCGCCGCGTCCTCGCCGTGCGCGGGTGGGCGGCTGTACTGCTCGTGCACCTCGGGGCTGGCGGGCGCCGGCTGCTCGCGCGGCCACCAAGGGCCCACCCCGCGCTTCCTCCCACTCCTCCCACTCCTCCCCCTCCCCCTCGTCCGCCGCCTCCTCCTCCTCCTCCTCCTCCTCCTCCTCCTCCTCCTCCTTGTTCTGCCCCTGCTCCTGCTCCTGCTCCTGCTCCTGCTCCTGCTCCTGCTCCTCCTCCTCCTCCTCCTCCGCCTCCTCCTCCGTCTCCTCCTCCGCCTCCTCCTCCGCCTCCTCGTCGTCCTCGTCGTCCTCGTCGTCCTCGTCGTCCTCGTCGTCCTCCTCCTCCTCCTCCTCCTCCTCCTCCTCCTCCTCCTCCTCCTCTCCCTCTTTCTCCACCTGCCTCCGCCCCGCTTCCGTCCCTGCCCACTCCGGCCGCCTCCGTCGCTCCCTTTTTCTCTCCAGGCCCCCGACCCCCCCCCCCCCGCCTCCGCCTCCGCCTCCTCCCTCCCCGGGGTCTCGGCCTTCACCAGCTCCTGCGTGAGCCTCGTGCTGGCCTTTTCCATGCCGTCCGCGTCCTCGCTGGAGGACGAGGGGCGGGCAAGGGCGAGGAGGGGGCCAGTCTGAGCGACCAGAGAGACGACGCCGATCCTAACATGATACAGTCGGGGCGTTGACCAAAGGAACCCTAAATAAGGAACGAGGCCCCATTTCTCCAGAAGTTGAACTTCGATTTCCCTTCGAAAACCTAAGGAAAACGTGGGGCAAACTGTGAAACAATTAAGGAACACGGAGCCCCTCCCCAACGAAAAGGGTTCCTTCTTCAGGGCCCCGACTGTACCCACGCTGCAGCGGGAACACCGGTTTCAAAGAACCGCGTCGGATCGAACAGGGAGCAACCCGTCGGACCAGCCCTGCAACAACAACAGGCGCACAAAGGGAGGGCGCGCCGCCCTCAGGACGTCCTTCCAGGGGAGCCCAAGAGCAGCACTCAGGCCCGCCGCCGTGGAACTGTGGAGGCGGGAGGACGAGGGAGGGAGGAGGACGTAGGAGGGGGGAGGGAGGACAAGGAGGAGGGAGGAAGAGGCGGGAGGAAGAAGGGAGGAGGGAGGAGGGAGGAGGGCAAGGAACGCCCGGGACGATGCGGGGGGGGGGCCACAGGGTAGGATAGCAAAGGGTGGAGCAGAGAATCAGCTAGCGTTGCCAATTTTCCCACGACCATGGTGGCGACGCGAGTCGTGCCGACCAGGCCGAGGGGGCGGTGGTCTTGGGGGGGTGGCGGAGAGAAGGACCTTTGTGCCTCCACAGTACGGTCTTGCGCCAACTGCACCGTGGACACGAGGAGGGAGGACGGGGGAGGGAGGAAGGAGGCAGGAGGCTTGATTCGACACGTCACATCGCAGAGGCTAGGACCAGCAGAACAGAGGGAAAGTCTCCAGAGAGCTCAACCCCAGAGGGAAGGGCTTCCCAGGGTCCCAGAGACTAATTCTCCACGCCACCAGTCAAAGCCAAGGAACCAACACAATCCACTGCGCTGGTTGAATCAGCAAGAGGCACCAGCTCGTCGAGCGGAGCTTCCCCTCTCATATGGTTGGGATGGATGCTTCTGAGGATGCTGCTTGTGTTGCTCCTCAAGTGGGCCGAGGATGGCCCGCCTTTGCATGCCTTTCCAATGCCCCCAATTCTCACGCCCTCGCTGACACGTCCACTGTCCATGCAGCAAAACAGCGTCACTCCAACAGGAGTGCCTGTGCCATTAATTTTGTGGCCCTGGGTCTCCTGCACCAGGGCGCTGACCACGGGATTGGAACCGAGGCAGTCCACAGCAAGCTCGGGCGGGTCGGAACGAACACGAATCAAGCACCTGCGGCAAACCCATTTGCCGCGAATCCATCTGAATTGGTGGCCCCTCACCTCCTCAGGCAAGTGGCGCGACCAATAGACTTCCCAGACGGGAGGAGGAAGAGGAGGAGGAGGAGGAGGAGGAGGAGGAGGAGGAGGAGGAGGAGGAGGAGGAGGAGGAGGAGAAGGAGGAGGAGGAGGAGGAGGAGGAGGAGGAAAAGGGAGGAGGAGGGGGGGACGAAGAGGAGGAGGAAGCCCCCGAAGGGCGGGGGAGGGAATTGAAACTCCCAAGCCAGCCGCGCCCAGCACCTCGGCTGCGGCGCTGGCGGAGGCGGCGCTGCCTCCAGCATTGGCCTTGCGTCTGACGGGGGCGCCACCGGCGCCAGCAATGGCGCCGACGCTGGCGGCACGCGGATCGCCTGCCCTACTCAGCCTCTGGCTGGGCCTGGCTGGCGCAAGCTGGGACCATAGCAAAAGCGCCTTTGCCACAAAAGTCAAAAACTTCGTTAAACTGCTGGTCGCAAGGCCAAATCGGACAACTCATTTTCCGAGGGTCTGCAATGGGTCATTGCCGCCGCCTTCGCTGAGACATCAGCCCGGTGGTTGCTTGTAGCCTTGTACCAGTCACTCGAGAAACGCTCAAAGCTGTCTGCTTTCAAGTGGCCTTGCACTCTCGTCACAACTACTGAATCTCTTGTGGGGAGATGACTCAGGACTACTAGAGTAGGTCCATCCTAATAAGATCTTCTATCAAAAACCATTTCCGAGGCCTTTTCACCAGCAGCTACAAGCCCTCTGTAGTCCGCGCAGAGCTCGGATGCCGAGCGCGCGTGCTTGCAGCCAGCCAAGGAAGCGACATGTTCCGACGCAGGGCTGCCTGAGGTAACTTGGAGCCAACTCTCCCAAACAAGACAGCGAAGGGCTCCCCATCATCCTGGAGACACACACACAGGCCCAGCCAGCATGGTGGTGGATGTTGTGACCTTCTTTCTAGCACGAGCCATCGTGATAGCATACTTTGTCCTTGAACGCTTCCAAAGGAGTCAAATCAGGGTGTACACAAGTGATAAAGAATTCATCATGCCCAAAGCCTTCTAGTGGTCTCAAGAGGCGCTCAGGAGCCAGCTGAAAACCCAGCATGAGAGGACCCTTCTTATCTTCATTGCAGATTATCACAGACACCTCATCCTCCAAGAACTCATCTCTTGCAGGATGATGGAGGTCATCCCAAGGGCGGAAGCAATTTGGGCAATCCCCACTTGGGCCACAACCTCCGTAAAACAAAAGCCTTAAGTATGGCGTGTTCAGGCTGCGACAACCGACTGCTTGGAGAGAGAAGCTGCTTGCGCACTGTGACGTCCGAGATCTCACCAGGCGGCCTAACATCAGAGCAGTCTTCAACAATAACATCTGCATCCAAACTGCCCACATATCACAAAACAGTCTAGCAGGGGAAGTCGCGGTTAGAACTACTTCCTGACCCGGGTGGCCCTCCCAGACCAAGGGGTTGATGAACTTCCAAGACGCCCCCTGAAGAGAAACAATCGCCGCCCCAAATAAATCCTGTTACCCAGTTCCAAGTCCGAGGCGGATGGTCCAGGATGGGCAGGGCGAGCTCTCTCAGCCGTGGCAGCGATGGCCAAATCCAGGACGCGTCGCGGCCTTCCAAACCAGGCTAGTCCGGGTGATCGCGGGCCCCAGCGCCAGGCGATGCGCGGGGTCCTGGTGGATGAGCAAGGTTAAGGCCTGGACCTGGATGGACACGCGCTGCCCGCAGTCTGCAGGACGAAGGACCTTGCTGACGCAACTTCCCGAGTGTCCAACCCCGCCACCTCAGCCCCATAGTGCCCGAACTGCTGGAGCCCACTGAGGTGCAGCCGCTGCGTGTATGCGCATCTCTTCTTTACGGCAGCTAATCGTCTCTTGCGGCATTGGAGCTTATTTATGCGACTTTTTAACATGAGCGTGGCCCCCTTCCGGCGTCTGCTGGCCACCAGTGGTGTCAACTCCTAGATTAGCTGCCGAGCGATCATCAGCCGTCACGTGCTCGCCCACAACTTTAGTCAACTCCCTGCGAAGCGAGTCAGAGGAAACTACAACAGCGGCCTTCGAGATAACAACTTCACACTTCAGCTCATCTTGGATGACTTGTGCCGAGCTTTCCACATTGCTGTTTTCAAGACGTATTGGGTCAGAGTCCTGGCTCAGGAACACTTGGTCATCTATGAAGATACATATCAGTGCCAAGCACCCTGCTGAACAGACTAACCACTGGATCATACGAGCACACCTGCGCAAGGAACGCAGCGAATGGGCAGCCTGCCAATATCCCTTGCAGAGGGAACAAGGACCCCAGAGCATGCCCGTCCAGCTGAGAGAATGATGCACGTTGTACACCACTCCTAACACCCGCAAGTCAAAGCCTGCGGTCTCTGCTCTAGTCCAAAGCAAAAAGAAACCAAAATGATCGCAATAACTGCTCATGTCCCGCAGCACAACCGAGGCGCGAATTCTCTGGTTAGTCGAGCTAGCCGATTCAACGCAAAAATTATGCGCGAAAGCGAGTTCCAAGATCGAGACACCTTTCTGGTGACGGAGGCTACCATGTCGATGCGAATTCTCCCACGATCTGGCCACAACCTGTCGAAGCCTGCCGAGCGTCCGATACAGCGACGCGCAAAGCCCAATGACCTGGCCCAGCTTGTGCTTCGGGGTAGAACTGTCACCGCCGCCCGCGAGACCGAGGGGAACTGACCGCGTTGCCTAATACACCTGGGGAACCTATCAACCAAGCTGAGTTGCTGATTCGGACGCAGCAGATATTGTCGAAGATGGAGTCCATCATGTGTCTAAGATGCTTTTGCGCCGAAAGCCGAACAAACTGTTCTCAATTCTTCCAGCGCGGCAAGGGGCGCGGCCCTCCCGCCCCTCGGCTCGACGTCCCAAGAGAGGAGAGGGGGGGGATCCAGCCGATCCGCCTCCGCCCTGAGTGCGCGCGTGGGCTGCCCTGTCCACCGGCCTGAGCGCTGCTGCGCCTCCTCAGGCTTCCAGACGTCCTTCCACTTGGTCCACTTGTGCATCCAAGCGGGACTTGAACTTCCTCGGCTAATTACCCATTCTTTCCAGGACTCAAGGGAACTCTGGGAATCGGCCCAGGTCCTCCAGTTCCCCGAGAATGCTTTCAACGACTTTCTCGCCCAGTGCCCGCTGGCCTGAGTCCTGGAGCATCGCTGCCGAGAGAATCTTAACTCTTTCAGAGAGAACAAAGAGAGTGGGCACTGATCTGATGAACTCATTGGGACAGGCCTCCAACCCTTCCAACTGCCCGACATGCATCTTCCTGGTCGAGACTGCCGGCAACCGTCTGGGCCCACTTCGCAATCCAACGTGGCGGCGCAAGATGAGACTTCCAAGAAAGCCTTCTGACAGTGAATCTCAGGAGGGGCGCGAACAATCCCAGCTCGACGTGATCTCTGAGAGACTGCGTCTTCAAGCGGGTATATGTCGCCCTGCCAGTGGCGCGCTCGAGTTCCGTGGCAAGGCTGCCGCGCGCAGCGTCCAGCGCAGCTTGGCGAGCTTCGAAGCTGGAACGATCCGGGGCGCCGCTCGAATCCTGCGCAACACCGCGCGCCTCTTCAAGCTTCGAAAACCTGGTCTTCTAGAACTTCCCAACGGAGACTCGCAGGACTGGCGGCGCGCACGAGGGGTGCGGGGGGGGGGGGGCTTCTTAGAAGCA